TATATATATAATCTATCATGTCTCGTCTCATGTTATATATCATGTCATATGTCACGTGTCATTTCATTTTTTTCATGTCTCATTCCATGTCATTTTATGTCTCATGTTATATATCATGTCATATGTCACGTGTCATTTCATTTTTTTCATGTCTCATTCCATGTCATTTTATGTCTCATGTTATATATCATGTCATATGTCACGTGTCATTTCATTTTTTTCATGTCTCATTCCATGTCATTTTATGTCTCATGTCATATATCATGTCATGTCTTTTCTTATTATATTTAGGCCATGTCATGTCATGTGTCATGTCTCATTTCATTTTATTTCACATCTCATTCCATGTCATGTTATGTATCATGTCAAATATCGTCATGTCTTTTCATATTATATTTAGGTCATGTCATGTGTCACGTCTCATTTCATTTTATTTCATGTCTCATTCCATGTCATGTTATGTCTCATGTCATATATCATGTTGTGTCGTTGCGTGTCATATGTCATGTATCACATCACATCACTTCTATTATAATTTAAGGTATGAAATGAGATTATATAAGGAATGATATGCGATTATAAATGTTATATTTTACATGATATAATAAATGATGTAATGTGATATGACATTAATCTCGTCCTATAACAATTCACCTCACATCATACAACATGTATTATCTCATTTAATTCATAATCTCATCTGATCTCTCATGCATCTCACATCTCACGTATGTCAGTTGTTGGCGTTTTGTTTTTATTTAGAGTATGTGATGGAACACTGGAAGGAGGACTTCATGTTTGGATATCAGTTTCTGAACGGCTGCAACCCCGTGTTGATCAGCAAGTGCACCAAACTTCCTGACAAGTTTCCTGTCACTCACGAGATGGTCTCTGTCAGCCTGGAGAGGGAACTGACCCTGGAGGACGAAATGAAGGTGTTTATTTATTTATTTTTACAGGAAATAATTGAAATTCCTTTCCCGTTTCGAAGATATAGGTGCTAAAGCTTTATTTTGATATGGAGAACAATTGTGTTTCTCTTTGATCATCTGTCTGATGTATTTGTCTCCTGCTTTTAGGCGGGTAATGTCTACATAGTAGATTATGAGATGCTGGAGGGCATTAGTCCAAACTGTACAGACCCGTCCACACTCCAGTACCTGGCAGCTCCCATCTGTCTGCTGTACAAGAATGCACGAAACAAGGTCTTGCCGATAGCTATACAGGTACAGTTCTACTGAGGCACAGCGGTTTTCTGATATAAAACATACATTTTTTTTTCCCTCTTAGTGTAACAGAACTGCCTGTGTGTTCTTTCCCTCCAGCTTGGCCAAAATCCAGATGAAAACCCAATATTCCTTCCCACAGATGGTCAGTATGACTGGCTCCTGGCCAAGATCTGGGTCCGATCAGCTGACTTTCAGCACCACCAGACTGTCACGCACCTGCTCAGGACACATCTGATGACAGAGGTGTTTGGGATCGCCATGTTCAGACAGCTTCCCGCCGTTCACCCCGTGTTTAAGGTGAAAACTCCTCCTCGTTTATTTATTTATTTATTTATTTATTTATTTATTTATTTTTGCCCGGACGGTAGTTTCACTGATTCATCTCTTCCCTCAGCTTCTCATTCCGCACATTCGTTTCACCATCGCTATCAACACCAAGGCCAGAGAGCAGCTCATCTGTGAGTGTGGAATCTTTGACAAGGTGAGTTTATGCTTTTAAAAATTAAACAGAGCAAATATTAAAAAAAAGGGAGAAAGAGACTGAATATTTGATGAAAAAAAAATTTTTTTTATTGCACTTACAGTAAAACTTTTATTTTACAATTATTGTTTTGTAAAGAGGTGCCTGAAAGTTTGTGATGGCTTTTTTAAAAAACTTTTCTACATTAAAATGTCTCTAAAGATCGGTCACACAGCGTCTACAAGTTCAAAAAGACAACTCACAGTAACCAATTTGGCAAAAATAATTCTACTTTTTTCCTTGTTGGACCGAAGCTGGTGGAACAGAGGTTGGAGAAGGCGAACCCATCAGAAGGTTGCAGAGTTGTAATTTTGGCTATCTGTACTTTACTTGAGTAATTATTTTTCAGCCTACTTTTTACTTCTACTCCTCACATTTTCACATAATTATCTGTACTTTCTACTTTAAACAAGGTAAGAAGTAGAAAGTTGTTACTCCTATTTCATTTCGGCTCATTATTTAAAAAAAATCCTGATAAATTGTGCCTCCTGGAAAGAGTGAATTTAATTCTAGGTGTATGAGACGTATAAATATAATATAAATGTTTACCATTCTGACACCAAATTGTACACAATCCATCACAGCTGCACGCCTTTGGAAAAAAATTTTTTTTCGGAGAGTTCACCTCACAGTAAATGTCATTTTGGAAAACCTAACCACTTATTTTTACTCAATACTTTTACTTTTAATACTTAAGTATATTTTATGTCAGAAATTTACTTTTGATACTTAAGTACAAAAAATATCAGATACTTTAAGACTTTTACTCAGGTAATATTTTTGGAGGAAACTTTAACTTGCACCAAAGTAATTTCATGATAAGATACTTGCACTTTTACTCAAGTATCACTTTGAGGTACTTTACACAACACTGGGAGGTTCAACTCCCACGACCAACAGGCCCCCCCCGGGCCCCTGAGCAAGGTCCTTAACCACCTCAGTTGCTCCCCTGGTGCCTCAAAAAAAAAAAAAAAAAAAACAGTGTAAATTGCAT